TCCTTTCAAATGTAAAATAGGTCTGTAATAGTGGAGAATAAAACCGGTTGTCCTGCCCCTCCAGCTGACCACATACTGGGAAAAAACCTTCAAGTTGGACCTGTTTAGACCTCAGATTGGTGTGGTCAATGTCACAGATGTAAGTAAAACTTAAAATATCTGAAAACTCCAACGTGAAGAGGTCACAGACCTTAACCTTCTGGGTGAACTGTGTTGCAGGCAGCCAGTGTGTGGCTCGACATGTCCAATGATGAGGATCTGCCCACTGCGGAGGAGTTGGAGGACTGGATCGAGGACGTCCTCTCAGGGAGGGTGAACACGGAGGATGATCTAAAGTCTGCAGACAATCAGGATGTCACAGGGGACAGTGACAAAAGTCATGACTCTGATGACTCTGATGATGATGATGATGATTACTAAGCTTGTTGAGGGTTGGTGTCCTAGCCTTTCAGATATGGGTAGCAACACTAAACCACCTATGGCACAATAGAAACATATAATTGAGTAATTCAAGTGTTTCAAGCAGGGGAACTAATAAATAATTGTAGCATCTCCCAAAAATCTAAAATTCTAAACAATGTATTATTTAAATAGGTAGGCAGATAAAACAAACTAATTAAAGGACATCAAGGGAACATTCATGGCAGGGTTCATAAAACTAGAACAGTGCCCAAAGCAGTAATACTCCTTAACTTACCAAGGACCAAGATATGGGTTAACATTTCTGCATTACATACAGTAGGCATGTAATTGACATTATTATCACACTGACACACGGTCACCTAAGTGGCTACGGCTAGCATGTTAGCAAACAGTTGCCTATGTATATACACTGCACAGATTTGGACAAAGATGAGCATTTACTTGAAGTGCTCATGAATGAAGTCCATTATTCTCACCTCTTTTTAGCTCTGTTTTATTCTCCATCTGCTACCAAGATAAATATTTGGCTCTTCAGTTGCTAAATGCTCCACTAGGCTCATCAGCTAGTTGCTAACTTTGTCCATTAATTGCTTGGTGCCAGGCAGGCAGTGTACACCGTGTTTATAGCCTTTTCCCCTTTCACAGCAGCTGCCTGCTCTGCCTGAAAATACTTAGTGTTGAAGATACTTAAAACATCAAAATATTAAACCATATTAATAAGCAGTGCCACCCTATTTATATTGCACAATAACATAGTCAACGTTTTAAGATAAAAATATTGGTTATAGCAGCTTTAAGGTTGATACAAATGATTAGGTTTTTATGAGGGATTCTACTGGTGAGTGTGTCTATGTTTAAATAATTGTTTTTGTTCTAAGCAGAATATGGCTTAAATTGCTTTGTTATTAATTTGCTGCAAAAAACCCCAACAACAAATAGTTCTGTTGATGAAATTGTAAGAGTCTAATATAAACCTGCATTTAAAAAACAACTCAAAAAGTACTTTGTTGAATGCAGACCTGACAAGTGAAAAGTTTCAGGGTGAAATAGTTAATAAAAGTACATGGACTATCTGTGCGTACATCATTTCATGCAATTTACATCAGGCCTGTCTTTGGGTATGTGACATGTATGTGAACGTACAGTTCAGTTTTCTCCCTCAATAAGAACGTGTAGACTGATGCTCAAGATGGCAAACCAATCCATTTTTTCCCCTTGTCAATTAACATTTTTAGCTTGAATTATTCAAACACCAGTGAATAATTCAGCGCTGGTATGTCTCCGAATGGGAATAGGGACCTGCACAAAGAAGTTGGCGAGGTTGGGGCTGAGGGGAGTCCGGGTGAGACAGGTTCAAAGGCTGTCCTCCAGGGCGCTACAAACTGAGTAAGGAGCGGACACACTCCTACTGAACCTGTACCTCCGGACATGCATTAATAATTCAATGCTTAATAATTCAAGGCCACGTGAGAATCATAATTCCCCTGGAGGTGGATGTGATGCAGCGTATAAACAGGATGCGCGTATCATAGTGTCAGATTTACACACAATCCATGCCATAGCCAGTGAGACAGTGTGCGTGTGCATTTAAATGTGACCTGAGGCAAATAAGCATGCCTCTCTCCTGAGGACAAAGAAGCAGACAGCGTCACGGTGGAGGTGGTGGGATGGTCTGCAGGGCCTGTAGGTTACATAATCCTGTGAATGTCAAGTGTGATGGTGTTTTACATGAACCTTGACTAAAAGGAGGGCAAGAAGACTGATCTCTCTCACACAGCACACACAGCTCCTTACTCCCGAGAGAGGAGCGATGACGGCAGTAGGTGTGAGTGTCTAACAGGTTCAGTGCAGTGAAGAAGAAAAAAGAGAAGCTGCCGGAAACTAGAGGGATTTCCTCTAATGCTTCGGTCGGCACATAACTAAGTCATTACCAAACAAATAGAGAGGGAGGAATGAAGGGAAGAAAAACATTTCATTTAGATGCAAATGCTCCTCATTTCCCTCTCGACCCATCTCTCTCCCCCTTGTCCTGGCCCTGCACAGAGCAGGCGCATATGGAGAGGAGGATTAAAAAGAGGACAGATGAGTTCCGACAGGCAGCCTCATGCCCTGGGCTCACGGAGGGATGAGGTTGTTCGTTTTCAGCACTGGACACCGACGCTGGCATTCATTTACCCACAAGGCCCGGCTGCGCAGCTCTGACAGGCTGATAGCAAGCCAATTACCACTGAGCTCCATGACAACAAAAAGCCAAAATAAGACTGAAAAAGCTGATATTTTGCTTCAACATGTCACACAGCAGGGACAGACCCTTAATGGGCAGCGACAGAGGTGTGTTAGCAAGTCTGCAGCCGGGGAAGGAAAACAGCGCATGTATGAAGAAGCTGAGGGGTGCGTTGGGAAGAAGATGACAAAAGCAACATAAAAGTGAACAGGACAAATTAGCACATACAAAAAAATACAAACAGTGGTGACAAATTTAAATAATCAATGGTAAACATTATTATTTCTACGGAGGCTGAGAAAGTCCATAGCTGCAATAATTTTTATCACAAGATCACACATGAATTACCTTGATAAACAGCAGTTATTTTCTCATAACAGGATAATTATCTTGGGAAAAAAGGATGTTTTTGCAATTAAATAGGACAATTATAAAACCAAAACAAATGACGTGATAATTTTTCTGTGTTCATATGATAATTGACTTGTAATAGTGATAATGGAGTAAAATTAAATCCAGGTATCCAGGGTTTGAAATATTCTTAATTGCAAACTAATGTTGTTGTAAAAGATTTTTCCAAGAATAACTGGGAACTAAACATTTTATTTGTTATCTTGAAACCATAAACTAATTACCTTGTTATCTTGGAATAAGAGATTTGTCCTGTGCCATCTTCGGCCTCCCTACTGCACAGTATTTGATGCTTTATATTAGGTAGTCAGTTGGGATCATTAGGATTTGGTTTGCACAAGGCTGAAATATTCTAAGTAAAAAATCATGTTCATGATTCCCAGTAGTATTCAGATATTTACACCTGAATTTAGTGTTTATTAATAGGCAAATTAATGGAGTTTTCTGTGTAATAACCCTTTGAAATTGAAGTGAAAATTCCCCACAGCTTTTTGGGGTTGCTGAGATGCATTCTGGGATATGTAGAAAATCACTGAGGTGAAAGAAGTGTAGAAAAAATAAACTCAGCCACAAAACAAGAATCAAACTCATTAGTTCTCAAGTGTTAGAAATAGAAAAGTGATAGCTACTAAAACCCACATGGCAGGAGTGCACTTGGAGTGTCAGTCTAATAAAGCTGACTGCTCATTTACTGTGCAATACAACCTTATACAGCAGTTTTACAAAGGTTCATAAAAATGTTTATTCTTCTTTAGAAATGCTAATGCTGCGAAACCAAGACACGTCTTGCATTGCAAAGTCACACCATCATCATAAAGCTGCAACGACAGAGGACTGTAACCTGGCAACAGTGTGGCCGGAGGTGGTGATGAAGAGGAGACGGAGGGACAGGCTGGTAACGTGAACTGGAACAGCATACATACAAACACACGTGGTTGTTTACATAAATAGATACAGTGTAAAAACAGGCGGCACAGTCACAGCGGGATCACACAAAGTTCATCTGTCAGTAGGTACAAAGTTTACAGTGAGATTTACATTCTCTCTTTATATGAAAACATGTTGCTGCTGTCCTCAGGCAAACAAACTGACAGTATTAGCTTTATCAGCCAGGGGGCAGTAGGGGACAACCCTGCTCACAGCCACAGAGAATATCATTTTTTAGCTCAGTGTGATTCTCTCTCACCTCTTTGAACTTACTGGCTCACTCATGACAGAGAGAGGATCTTGAAGTGTTATTAGCTTCTTTTAACTGTATTTGTCTGGTTCTACAATGTAAGCCGATTCACTGGGAGAAAGAAACAAGAAAAATCCCCTCCGAAAGTTCCAGTGAAGCGACTAACCTTGAAGGACTCGCTGTGAGCATGTTTGTCAGACAACAGAGGTGAGACAAGTTAGGAAAACCAGATGGTCCAGTTGAAAAGGAGGTTCCACCCTGCTGCAGCTCTCACTGTTGATGCACACTCTGCTGATTCATTATCACCTGTAGCATGTTCTTGTGATACAAGTAAAACCCTGCGACCCCTGAAAGATGAAATCATACTTAAGTATCATTCTTAAACAGTGGCCAATGTTTAGCTCAGCCCTGTTGTCTTGATAGATTCAGAATAAAGACAGTTTCCATTTACTGTATATCTGTGATTTAATATGAATACTGGGCCAAAAATAGTATTTTGTTATAAAAGAGAAACTAATGGAACTAATGGTGTAGAAATTTTCATTGTACTAAATTTACCATTGACAGTCTGGAGTTCTCAGTAGTACTTTTTATTTCTGACATCAAGCTCCGTCTCTCCTGCTCGCTGCCTCCTGTTCCATCGTGTCAGGCAGATATGACAGACATGAAAGCCCTGAGAAGGTCACTGAACAGATGAGGCAGGGCAAATGTTTGTGGGCATGCTTCCATCTCCATGTGTCTCTTATGATCTGGTTCATTCTGAACTCATGTTGGTTGTTTAACATAACATGTGTGTGTTGTTTCCTGATTTTGCTCCACCGCACCAAAACAAGTTACAGCGTCCCACTTTGGCTGCTAACATTAGCGCTTTAGCAAGGGTGCTACTGTACGCTGTAAGCTAGACATGTTTGACACCTCAGCTGTCAAGAAAAGGGTTTGTCCAGAGCACTGCAGATGTAGGAGAGGAAAACAGTTGGACATCCTTTTAGAGCAGGATGAAATGATATCTGTCAACCTTTTTAGGCATCTTCTTTTCATTTAAACATACATAAATGTGCACTTAATGCAAAATCTGATCAAAGATTTAATTTGGTTTTCAAGAGAAGAAAATCCATTCACTTCTCAATCTGTTGACGTCCAGTCTGTAGTGGTTTGCCTGTCCCGTGGAAATAAAAGAGTGACCAAAGCAACAAAGACTGTGGGGACATCAAAAACCTCAAACTTTCTCATCTGGTTTCGCTCCAGCGTTTCAAAACCGAAAGGGAAGGAGTGTTGACATAATATGATACACACTCGTGCACACACACAAACACGCAAGACTGTGTCTGAGGCATAGAAACTCTTGTGAGTACGACCCTGTGACGATTCTTCTTTTCATCCAAATCAAACCAAATCAAGATCAATATATTCAATGTGTGTCATATATAGATCTATATAATATGTAAAAATTCCAAAAAGTAAAAAATTAAAACTGCAACGTCAGAATGAAAACATCTGAGAGCAATCAAACAGTGTCAGGAGTAACAAAAAAAGTTCTGTCCTACACAGAGGTTTCAGACTGTAGCCGCAGAACAAACTTGTGTGACTTGGGGTCGATGTACTCTTCTGACAGCTGGATGTAGGGGATCTTTTTGGATGTCACCACCAGGCTGAAGTCCACACACTTGAGCAGGAAGACTGTGCCGTCTTTCAGGCCGCTGGTGACTGACGCCTCGCTGATCAGCGTCCACTGACGGGCCAGCCAGTGGTCCCGACTGTACCGCAGGGTGGGGCCTGGCGTCAGGTAGCTCTCCAGGAAAGCCTGTGCAGAAGGACACACTTTTGTCACATCTCACACAACAAGAGCAAGTCAGAACAAGTCTCCTGCAAACAAAGGGTCTGACCTTGGGCGTCATGCTGTTGGTGATGCAGAAGGCTAGGTGCTGCTGGATGCTCTCCATGCTGTGGCAGTGCTGCTGCTTGGTGGTCCTCAGGTATTTCTGCAGGGCCCGAGCCATGGAGGGGAAGATGGCCTGTGCTGCTTCTCGGGGGTCCATCACATCCCCTGGAGCCTTCTTCTGCTCCTCCTCCTGCATGTGCTTGATATGTGTGAACGCCTCCTCTACTGCCACCACCAGTCTGTGAGGAAACCCACAACAATTAACAATTGTCCCATCAAGAAATATATGATGCATAAAACCTTGACTAATTTATTTTGTTTCTCCTCTATACACTGGAGTCACCTGGGCACCACACATTCACTTAGCTTAGTTATCAGTGTGACAAAAATGTATCATTTCATCATAAAAAATCCTCATCAGGAGGAGCCACACAATCGTGAGAATGTGAAGGCAGGGATCTACAGAAGACCACACCACAGTTTAGTTTTCAGTGAGTGGTTGTAGGCACAAGCAAGGAAGAATACAATAGAACAGAGTGAAAAATTTGGTCACTTCTATTCTTTGAGATGTTTGATACTCACCGTGCTTTGCGTTTGCGGACACGTCTCTCATGCTCCGCCTCCTCGTAGTACAGCTCGTTGTGGCTAGAGTCTCTGCGGCGGGCAGCGGCTGCAATCATGGCTCTGGACTGGGAGTGGGCCAGTCCTGCTGCTGCATTATTCCCAGGACCTGTTGGAACAAATAAATAAGACAGGAACGGTTTTCTGTATGTGTGCGAGTCTCACACTAAAGAGTCGGTCACAGCTTTGAAGATGAGGGTAAAGGAACAAAGATGTCATTGGTGATGACTTAAAGTGCAATGTGAGGGAACAAGCTGCTGATTTTTAAGTCTCAGTCCACTGCTTTTTATTATGAGCAGTATGAAACTCCAGGAGCTGACAGAAACAGCCACACAAAGTTGAAATTTTGTGTGCACTGTGATCACTCAAAAATTGAAATCCTTGAATTAATACATCCTGCTCATCCACATGACTATGGTGACATTCCAACATTCCCAGTCCTCTGCCACTCAGTACCTCCAAGAGGCAAAGGGCATCCAAATGAACCAGTGTCTCGTTCAACTTGAAATGTTTTGGAATGACGACAGGAGACTGCTGATGAAGTCTGGCTGATGTTAATGCAAGTTAAAAGAAGGCAGAGCTAATGAATTATTGAAGCGGGGCACTAATTGTGCATGAACAGAATAATTCATACATGGAGAAGAAGAAGTGTGGAGCACACCCTGCTCTTTCTGTTCACTGTGACAGGAAATACATGTAACCATCTGTATTGTATTTTATAACATACACTGTACATTTTTTGGTTTTGTTCAGGCATTTTAAACCCTCCATATTTTGGAGAATCATTTGGCTAACACCACCTTTATCTGCTAGATTCCAATTCCCAACATCTAAAGCTGAGAAAACAGAATGGAAATCAAAAAACCTGTCAGGCATCATAAAAATCACCTGAACCCATTTGGATGCTGTGTAATTGAGTGCTACATCTGCTTAGGGCTTCACCACTCTTTAATCAGGGAAAGATGATTGCGTGTCCCTAAGTTCAACTTATTACAATGCTACTGCGGCTGCAGAAAAACAGAAAGAGTGGGGAGTAAAAGCTCCAGACAAGAGAGTCAGAGAGAGAGATGAAGAGGCCCCTGAGCAGCTGCTGCAGGACGGAAATGAACGAGGATGAGACACGAGAGAGAAATGACAAGACCGGCAGCGTAATAGTTATTGATTTATCAGCCATCTTCGCAACTGTCTACCCTGGAGAGGAGGGAGAAGACGCGCAGCAGAAAAAAGGAAGAGGGAGTCAAGTTAATGCTCTTAAGTGAAGCTTGAGTACACTTAAGGGAGAGCAATAATTTACCAGAGGGTTTGTGTTACATTCTGCCAGCTGTCATAAGGACGACTAACTGTTTTCTTATCAACCTGTGGCATGCAGAGTGCAAAGGAGTGGTGGGGATTGAGAGGTGTGTCAGTGTGTGTGCGAAGCAGTCGGAGTGTGTCTCACTCAGTGACGTTACTTCTGTGTGAAAAGGAGGCTTTTGTTTTGGTTCAAGGAACACCAGCAGTTTGTGAAGATGCCTTAGATAGAAGCTGTGTTTACTTACTGTCCAACAGGTAGGCTTTCAGTTTAGCTCTATAGACATCTTAATGGGTCAGTGTAAAGAGACACAAAAGCAGAGGAGAAAATCAACTCTTACTTGAATCTCATTCCCACCTGCTCCAAAGGTACCAGAGGGTGAACTGAGGCAGAAATCTAATATCCACATGTGCACCTTTACATGCTGTAGCCAATTACCTACAAATCACCTGTGCTTTTTGTCACTGTCAACAGTTTTCTAACCGTGCTGTGTTTGCAAATCGATTTTCTTCCTTCCAGGCAGTCAGCACATTCCAGTACAGTAACGAAATCAACGTGTAGAGACTTGAAATGTGCTTCAGATGGACGCTCTGTCACAGGGAGCTACTCTGGAACGTTGACATAGGTTCTGAAATACTGGCTGAGCAAAACTAGGAATTTCAATATGCTAACTTGGGCTGTGTTCCAGTAAATTCAGAGGGAAATGTGGCAGTGTGATCCAAGCGTTTTGTCAGAGAAGACGAACATCAGGAAGCAAAGCCAGACTTCAGAATCTCTCTCACATCAGGTAAACACAGGTAACCCAAAAGGACTGACAAAGAAACTGCATACCACTCACCCTCAGCAGGGGCTTCTGGGCACTCACCATCCACGTTGTAGACCTTGAGGCCAGCAAGGTGCTTGGCGGCACGGGACTTGGAGGCAGAAAGCAGCGCCGGGTTATGAACTGGGAAGTCGCAGTAGTAGTGTTCTAAGATAGCCAGGGCTGCCCGCTGAATACTGCAGAGGAGAAGACGGGAGAAAGATACGTATTAGCCAAGAGCTCTGAAGGTAAAATCCAGGTCGATTCATGCCAGTGTGAGAGGGTGGGCCCTAAAAATATTAGCTTTTTCATTTTTACTACGAAGTACAAAGAAATGCCTGCAGTAATATCACAACTCAGAACAACTGCTTAATACAGTAGAACAGTAGAGGACCTGTTATGAATGAAAAATCTTACATTTCTTGAGGACAGCAAGTAGCATTAGCTGTATTATTCTTGGAAGTGAGCTATGTTAGAGGATAAATCAAGACATTAAATAACATTAAATATTAAAGCTGCTTTTATCAATATTTGGACATTAGCAATGAATCAAAATGTGGAATATAAAGGGGTCAGTTGTGGTGATTAACCCACAGAGAATTACTGCCCTACTTTGCAGTTCTCCTCAGCTGTATGGAGCTTTAAAGCATCTTTTAAGTGATTGTTTTGGTTTTACAAATGCAACTTTATTGCTTTAGTTCATCCTCACATTCTCATTAGCATGCTAATTAGCTAGCTCAGTCTACACATGCTAGCCTGCAGCATGCCCTTCCTGGGAACATGAGAACATGTCCCTCTGACCCACTTTCTGATATCGTCTAACTTCTACCTCTGGCTCAGACCAAACATGACCAACAGAGTTAGAAGACAAACGTTTAGATTGGTTTACAGGTTGACTAATGATTGAGGCTGTCTGTTCATGTTGAGCAATAGAACTTCACTGTATCTGAAGGAAATTACAAACTGAATATGCCCAAAAAATAAAAATAAAAAAATCTGTAAAAAAAAAAAAAAAAAAACTTTAATATTTTGCTCTTTGTTACGATTTCACATACAGTACACAGTACTTCAATCATGATTCATATGCTCCCAAAAGGTCCTGTTCATAGAGGAATGTATATAAAATAAACTTGTTTTCCTAATAGCAGTGGAGCTAAGCTATTTTGCAGATGCATAGACTAATTTCACTGCACCACTGATGTCATAAATATTTAAAAATTACTTATAGAAAATGAAGACTGAGAGAGAAGAGATGAAGACTGAACATATTCTCCTCTAACGTGGTTAGAATGCTGTCAGACATGTCCACTTCACATAAAAGAAGAGCTGGGAATGAGAGAGCACAGTGTTTTAGTTTGCATACTGTTGTTTGAATGTCTTGGAAACAAATACAATGACGAAGCTTTGTGTTAGGTGGGGAAGTGTTGCGCAGGTGTCAGTGAAAAATGATGACGAAATTATAGCCTAGACACATGACATGATCTACAGCAATTAAAAAAAAAAAAAAAAAAGCATCTGGGTTCTGCAGCCTAGAAACAGGTGTCGTACCATTTCCTGATTTCTTTCTGAAAAGGTAATTGTACAGATATCTCCCAGATCTTTAAAATATGCCTGATGTTAGCCAACTCAGATGATTTCAGCAACAGTGTGTCACTCATATGACAACGCACTATGGGAAAACATACAAATGACAGGTTGTTGATTATTTAGCAAGGCCAGAGGCAAATCTCATTTCTATTGAAGGAGGAGTTGGGAGCTGTTAATACTGTTAATAACTCCTTTGGTTAACTCAAAAAACACAAACTGCCCTCTCACATTCAAAGTCGCTACAGACAAGACCATTGTTTAATGGCCACTTGCATAAGTGCTGAGTCAGAGCTCCAGCCGCTCTCCAACTTCAATCAGTTAAGTTGAGCAAACATGACACAAACTCACTTAAACCAAGCAGTTTTATTGGTTTACAAAGCAATGTCTCAAGAAGTGCCCGGTATCTAAACTCAGATAAGGACACAAAGTAAACCTTCAGACAGTGAGGTAGTTGACCAATAACTGCTCTGATGTTTGTTCTTGAACACTGCCCAGTCAGGGACTCGCCACCCCTCCATAACAGCTCTCCCAGGCTGTAAGAAATGTGCTCATATCCACCTTCTCTCAACAAGTTGACACGTGGATGAAAAAGGCTTCCTCTGGCCTTCAGATTGGCATCAAAGGCTAGGCAGAGAGACACAATCTGTCAGGGCCTCAGGGTCCCCATTATGATAAGGCTAAGTATGGATGCCAGGAAAACAGGAATGTGAGCAGCCGCCGCCGCTTGTTAACAGAGGAGACACATGAGAGACTGGATGACAAAACACTCACTCATGTCCAGGTTTCTCTACTCTGTTCATGTTCGCGTGTTATTTGCATGAATGTGGCGCAGTTACCCATGCACACATACACACGTCTGTATCAGTGCATGCGTGTCAGGCTGACCAGATGCTGTGCTGCAGTCTGCAGGGAGCACTAATTAGCTGTGTGTTTACAGTCACAGACGGACAGGCCTGCTGCCGGCCAAGCAGGGATGAATGGCAGCGCTTACAAAGAACAACACCCCCAAGGCGGCCGGCTACCACATCACCCAGACTGTTACACACACATACACTTGTCTGTCCTGTTTCTACCAATGCAAAATCAATTTGAGAATCGATTATTTGCACATTTATATACAGTGGAAAACTGTACCTGACACACTCTTAAATACAGCAGGGGCGGGAAACAGAGTCTACATGCAGAACTCACGAAAGAGCCACTACTGAAAAAGCCAAGACAGAGGATACTATTTCATCAACACTGCCATAAAAGAGGTCCATCTATTGACCCATCGGGTCTTATTAGTTACCCAGTAAGAGAGTGTATGTGAGGCTGCAACAAGAGAGCTGCTATGTTTGGCTAAAAATGGATTCTTCCTGTTTTACCTCCCAAACTCTAGGTCATAAAAACCTGGTTGGTCTAGTCTGAGCTGTTGCCACCCCCCACCCCCATATGCATTCCCTTTCTTTTATTCCCATGTACATTTTAGGATTCTCCAACACTACCCTCCCATTAACTATTAATCCCTCATTCTCCATTCTGTCTTCCCCTCCCTCCCACAGCATTCTCCCTCCTCCAGTCTCCTGGGTCTTTCCTCCATAGTCCTCCCTCTGTCTGCAGCTCTTTTCTGAGGACTTTCCTCTCTGAAGTGTTCCCCACCCTATCCTTTCTTCTCCTGGCATGATTTCCTTTCTTTATCAGCCACTTTGTTTGCACGCCTTTCTGCATTTTCTTCCATCTCTGGCTCAACGCTCAGCCTCCCTTTCTACATGATCACCACTCTTCTCCTTCAGGCACATCCCTCCCTCTCTTGATGTTTGTGAATCTTCCCTGTATGAATTACATCCTCCCCTCTTTGACTATATCACCAGTTACTTCCCTCTTCTTTTCTCATCCCTCTCATTTGAGCTGTTCCAGTTCCTGTTTTTCTCCATCTCGCCCACACCTCCTCTGTGCCCTGGTTGATCCTATCAGCCTAACTCCCTCTGTCTTACTTTTCCCTCTCATGGCCCCTGTCTTACATCCCCATCGACATGGCTCATTGCACTGTTTTAATGCAGGAATGATTTTAAGCATAAGCATAAACTTTATTGCCAAGTATTTCAAAAATACAAGGAATCTCCAGCCCAACAGCCCCCAATGTGCACAACATAAAAACAAAATAAATAAATACAGAATATATACAAGTTAAAACAGCACAAGTTAAAAGTCTGAACACTCAGCAACAGGTCAAATGCAAATCACTGAAAAAGTCTATATGTGGCCAAGTCAAAGTAAAAGGCACAAAGATACAAACTGTGTCTCTCACCTGAGCTGCCCCAGGTTGTAGTGCCTCGTCTCTCCGTCTGTGGACCGTGTGACGCACACGGAGAAGCACAGCTGCAGCTGCCGGAGCTCCAGCAGGACGATGGCCAGGTAGTGGATGAAGAGCAGAGCGTCCACCAGTGACACGGCGTACTGCACAATGCCCTGGTAGTTCTCATCCTGGAGGGGAGCAAAGTAGTAGCAAGCATGAACAGTAATATCAAAATAGCAGCTGGTTTGAAATGTTCTCTCTACTTCTGGATAGAATATACTACTTGTACAGCAGAAACACAGAGTCAAGAATATATATACAAAACATTTCTAAACACAAACAAGCATAAAACACTCCAGCAGGGCTAGAAAGGGTTGCAATGGTATGAGATTTTCACTGCATGATAACTGTCTCAGAAAATATCACGGTTTCAAGGTATTACACAATTACTATTATTATCAGCTACAATGACCCTCAAAAGAACATTTATTGCAAGTGACTGCACCTGTTGACTGAGCTGGACTGCAGCAACTGACCCTAATGCAGCCAGACTAATCCTGTCTGTACGTTCATTCATTCACACACGCGTACACTTATTGTACCTGTGTGTACACATAAGTACACACAATGTGTTCCTGGGGTCAGATGTGAAAAATACTTCAATATTGCATTTTTTGACCGATGCTTATTCATGCACATGATTTACTGATTGGGATTAAAGTTATAAACACACCACACATACTTTGATCTGAAGGGAGGGATGGTGTTCTCGAAGGTGTTCATTTTTGAGATATCCAGAGTAATCTTGCACTGCTGATTTTAAATTCTTTTTAGCTGGATGGAGTTTGGTGATGGGCTATCAGCCTCCTTCTCTCTGCCATTTGTCCACTGCATGTGTGTGGCACCTACTGCAGAGTCTCACAGGCCATCGGGGAAGAGGGGTGTGCAGGCATTGCATATTTTTCTTGTTCAATACCGGTAATAAGCAAAAGGTGCATGGTATGATAATTATCAATTTTCATACCAAGGTATATTGTGACACCAGTATACCGCAGCAACCCTAATGCACATTAGTTAAGATGTAGAGTTAATAAATATTTAGAGACATTTCAAAGCACTACATGGTTTTTAGACCCCCTTTTTGTATATATGATAGTGTAAGTACTCTGAGTGAGGAAGCACCAGGGACTTTAATTTATGGCACATAGTAAAAACATTGGAGAAACCAAATATCCGTGTTTATGTTGTTTGTGGTTTTGCTGAGGTCCTAAAGGTATTAAAAATGAATGTGCCTGCAATATACGAGACCTCGCCCACTGCTACTGGAAATATTTGGCTGTGTGTGCATGTCTCATTTCAAAATGTACTCAACTAAAGAAAACAGTGATAGCTGTGATACTTCACGCCTGCATTTCCTTCTCTTAACTTGCTCTTAGCTCACCTGTGAATCGAGTATTCTCACTCCGTAGAACAGCCAATAGGAGACCACAAGGAGTAGCACCAACACAGCGAGTAGCGCCCGGAATACAAAGACCCGAGGGAGGCCGGCCCGTGGCGGCCTGAAGAACAGGGCCCAGATGGCCAGCAGCAGTATGAGCAGCTTGAAGGCCACAGAGATGAAGAGGCCCTCACAGGCCGTGCCGCAGCCCTGCAGCTTCTCGGGCCAGAGGAGATGGGGAAGCACCAGGAAGGCCAACGGCGTGAGGAACACCAGCAGGCCCAGGATCACAGTCAGGGTCAGGGTCAAGTAACGGCGGCAGTCAAGACCTACGCTGTCCTCCAGGTCCTTGGTGATGCGAACAATGTCTTCCTGAGAGAGGCTATGCTCTGATGTGCCTGTGACAGCTGTGGTGGTCTCACCCCAGTTGTCATCCTGGAAGTGTGTGGAGGAGGAAACAAAAAGATTTTAAATAACAGATACATCTGATTGGACAGGATGTGAGAGCTGACCAGAACAAACATCGCAGGTCATCTGGCTTGTGTTTGTCCTGAGTCACATTTCCTCATTTAGCATGTTTTCTCATATCTTATGTCTAAGCATTAAGAAAAAACAGTGAGCGAGGTAATTAGAGGAATTAAACGCACCCAGTGACTTCAGCAGGTCTAGCAAATGTCACCTACCAAAACAACAATTGTAGAATGGGGGTTGGGTCCAATATAGCAACTTCGCTCAAGGGTGAAATGTGAGAGATGGCATCAGAAGATTGAAAACGAAAAGCTTTTATCTGAACTGTGCTACTAGAACACCATTTGGCCTCACTCTACTGTATCTGTGTGGATTCCCTTTAATATTTCCTATATAGCTCCAGCTCCTCCAGTGAACCTGCACTATAACATGCCATTTATTTTGCTATTGCCTGAAATGTCAGCTCAACAAAGATGAGCATGGATATTTCTGAGCATGTAAGAAAGAAAGGAAGGCGGGAAGTGGAAAAAGTAAACAGAGTGAGCTGCCAACTGGACTGTATGCTGATGTCTGGGTCTGACTGCATCCGCAGATAATGAAGGTCAGCTGTGTCGGAGCAGAATCGTTACAACAACAAAGATAAAGACTACACCACAATCATAACAAGCTGCTGCCCCTGCCAGAGAGATAACAAACTGACATCAGCTACAAGAATGATAAGACACTTTTCCCAAACTGCAATACCACAGTATGCGAGCCCCATTTTACATATTTTATGTCAGTGATGTTAGCGCCACACTAGTAAAGCTTACGGGGGAGATGCATTATGATCACTTCAGACTGGAGGGCTTGGGAGGTGCAGGAGGAGGAGGATGGTGCACTGGGATTGGCCTCAAGGCTTAAACAGCAGAGATGAAGCAGATGCAGTGGGAGAACATAGGCAGTACACTCAGGCTGTCTGTGAAGCTCAAAAGAAGCTACTGTGTATGTTCATATACTAATACTGGAATTTTTACTACTATAGAGGAGAGCAATACTGCAAACACATACAATATACTGTGCTGAACAGTTAGAAAAGGAGTGAAAAAGTTATTTGTTCCAGTATTTTTACGCACAGGAAAAACATGCAAACTCCACACATAAAGGCCCCATTCAGCTGTGAGATTCAAACACAAAACCTTGTTGCTGTGAGGCAACAGTGTTAACCACTACACCACCCCCTATGCAGTATATACTATACACAAATATACATTTGTGGACTGTTCAAAGTACCTAGAAACTTTGTTTTAAATCTCATGTTTTCCTTAACATTAAATATTGACAGCAACAGCTTTTGTGAGGATGTGTGTGTGCCCACCAAGTACTTCTGCACATACAACAACAACAACAAGCCCTGGTTCACAGTAAGACTCAAGTAGCTTCGTCATGCCAAAGAGGAGGCCTACAGATATGGCGACAGGACTCTGTATAGCCAGGCCAGGAACACACTGACAAAGGAGATCACAGCAGCAAAGAGGAGCTACTCTGAAAATCTGAAAGCTCAGGTTTCAGCCAACGACTCCTCGTCTGTGTGGATTAAGTCTAAAGAACATCACTTGCTATAGAAAACCATCCCCCAGCAGCAGACGACCTGAATGTGTTCTACTGCAGGTTGGAGAGAACGCGTGTGCTGATCAGCTGGCCCACATCTTCACACTCATCTTCAACATGTCACTGGAGCTGTGTGAAGTCCCCTCGTGCTTCAAACACTCCACCATCATCCCAGTCCCCAAGAAAACCTCCATCAGTGAACTGAACGACTACAGACCTGTCACCCTGACATCTGTAGTTATGAAGTCCTTTGAAAGACTGGTGTCGGCCCACCTGAAGGACACCGTAGACCCCCTGCTGGACCCCCTGCAGTTTGCCTACCAGGCAAACGAGTCAGTGAACATGGCACTGCATTACATCCTGCAACACCTCAACTCCCCTTGGACCTATGCACGGGCCCTCTTTGTGGACT